CGGCGGCGGCCGGGACCGTTGGGGGCGGGGTGTGTGGCCTTATGACACACTTCCTGTGATGTCAGGGGGTGTGGCCTTATGACACACTTCCGGTGATGTCAGGGGGTGTGGCATATGCTAATGAGTTATGCTAATGAGTTCCCCTAGCTCTTTTTCTACGAAACGACCCCGGCAGCCCTGCACACGTTTGGGCAATCCCTTAGTGCCAAACTAAATATGACATTGGAGTTAATAGGACTGGGACTCCAGGGTGTTGTTATTATTTGGCCCTAAGCAGCAGCCGTGGAGGTGGGGGGTGGGTGGGGAGGCAGTGATAGGGATCTAGGAATATGGACTGGGGTCATTGCACTGGGGAAAGGGAGGGTTTAGTACTTCCCTCTGGATGGCCCAGGCCAGCTGGGGTTGGCCCTGATTAATACTTGGATGGGAGACCACCAAGGACATCCAGGGTTGTTGTGCGGGGGCAGGCAATGGCCAACCAGAAGACCTGCCAGGAGGGACCATGCAAGGGTCGGGGATCCCATTTATAGGGGGGCAGGGGAGATGTAGCGGTGGAGCAGGGCGCTACTTGGGAAGGAGACGGATATATATGGGAATGCTCCGTCCCCTTCCTGCCTTCGCCCCATCCTGAGGAATGTTGTTGTTGGTGGGGGTGTTAGAAGAATGGACCCTCCTCCGACACTGGTGTTGTGCAGTGCCAGTTCCATAAATAATAAGACCTCTGTTCTACAGGATTATCTCATGGAACAGAATATGGACCTGGCTTGTGTGACTGAGACCTGGGTGAGGGATGGTGAGACTGTTGCCTTGAACCAGCTGCCCGCCCCCCCTCCCCTGGTTTCTCGGTCCTGCACCAGTCCCAGATGGTGGGGGGGGGGGCATGGGGATGTTTATCCAGGAGTCTTTCTCCTTCAGGGCGCTCCCTGCCCCCCAAAATTGCCAGCACTGAATGTGTGGGCCTGGTGTGGGATGTGAAGGAGAGCTTGGCTATCTGGCTGGTGCACTGACCGCCTAACACACCAGCAGAGACCCTGGCCGACCTCTTGGACCCAGCTCGGTGGAATAAGCTCCCAAGAGAGATCAGGGCCCTGTGGGATCTTTTACAGTTCCACGGGGCCTGTAAAACGGTGCTCTTCCGCCAGGCTTTGGGGTGAGGGAGCAGACGTCAAATACTATTCGGCCCCTCCTCCCGTAATGTGCTGTAAATTGTTGGGTCACTGGACTATAATGCCTGCTCTGGATTTATCTGAGAGCAATGAACTGTACCATCGGGAAATTTTTTTTTATAGGCTCTGGCCTCTCTTCTCCCTACTGTTATACTATGCCGGGGCACTGTTTTAAGGGCTAATGATTTTATAGTATTAGAGCCAGTTTGGTGTAGTGGTTAAGTGTGCAGACTCTAATCTGGGATAACGGGGTTTGATTCCCCACTCCTCCGCTTGCACCTGCTGATGTGGCCTTGGGTCAGTCACAAGCTCTGGCACAGCTGTTCCTGAAAGAGCAGTTTCTGTCAGAGCTCTCTCAGCCCCACCAACCTCACAGGGTGTCTGTTGTGGGGAGGGGAAGGGAAAGGAGGTTGTAAGCCGCTCTGAGACTCCTTTGGGTAGTGAAGGGCGGGGTATAAATCCAATCTCTTCTTCTTCTTCTTCTTCTTTTTATTGTTGTGAGTTTTATATATTGTAACCCGCCCTGAGCCCGCATCCGGGAAGGGTGGGATAGGAATTAAATTTAAAAAGGTAAATAATAAATACACCGCCTCTGTTTGTCTCTTAAATAAACCGCCTCTGTTTGTCTCTTGCCTTGACAGCACTTTCTACCAGACTTCATTTCCCTGATCAAAAATGTCCCTCGTTAAGCTTCATGTCTAGAATTCCAGTCATATCATTCCATTGTCATATTTAGTTTGGTCTTTAGAGAAGGTTAAGCAGTAGAAGTTTTAAGCTGGAGTCCTACGGGCACTGTCCTGGGGGTGAGCCCATCTGAATCTTATGGGACTTACTTCTGAGTAGAGCTGCTTAGGACAGCACCACTATCGCCTTCTGAAGCAAACCTGTGAACTTACAGGTACTTGTGAAGCAGAATGCTGGCTCAGGAAGACTTGGAGAGTAATGTTTACTTCTGACGATTTTCAAGTTGTTAATGCCTTTTTATCGGGAACCAAAATGTGGAACCTCTATCATGTGGAGCGTGAATGGTGACTGGCAGAGGGTACATGAATCCTTTGTTTTGACACTTTTTGTTTGTGTGTAAAGTGCTGTCAAGTCGCAGCCGACTTGTGGCCACCCCAGCAAGGGGGGCTTCAAGGCAAGTGAGAAGCAGAGGTGGTTTGCCATTGCTTTCCTCTGCAGAGTCTTCCTTGGAGGCCTCCCATCCAAGTACTGTCCCTGCTTAACTTCCGAGATCTAACGAGACTGGACTACACTGGGTGCGTTCAGACGGGGCATTTGCAATGGAATAGGTGCCGGTTCGAATCCGTGTACTTACTGGCGTTCACACGGCGAACATCTGCCTTCCGTCCCTAACCGTTGCAAAGAGCTTTAAACCGGTGTATTCTGCCACTAGGTCCCCAAGTGGTGGTATCCTGAGTACAACGGTTGTAATCGCTTTACCCCCGTCTGATCGCTCTCCACCGTTGAGAAACAACTTCCGTTTGGAAGCCTGAGGCTTCCGATTTTCGCCCGCCATTTTTTTTTAAAGGTTGGCGATATGCGCTTGGGCAAAGCTTCGCCCTGGCGTTTGTTTAAAAAAGAAAAAGAAAAGGTCCTTAGTTTAACGTTTCGGAGGAGTCCGGGACTTTAGGGAGGCCAGTTTGGTCTTTAAACTTTAAAGGTAAGTCCTTACCTTTAAAGTTTAAATGTAAGACGGGTTTTTTTGCGCATGTGCAAAGATCGCCATTCTGTGGATGGCTGCCTATGCGCATGCTCAAACTGAGTTTTTTTTAAAAAAGCCGACACCCGCTGCATGTGAACGGGCATACAGCGATGGGCTCCGCAGACAGGAGGTAAGTGTGATCGCGTTTCAGCCGGCATAAACTGCACCGGTTCCAACCGGTACAGTTTATGCCGGCTGAAACGCCCCGTCTGAATGCACCCACTGTGCCACTTTCCCTCCTTGATACTCTTTATTATAGGGGGGGAAAGAGTCTGAAGTACAATCTGTGGAGAAACCTGAAGCTCAAGTCACAAAGAGGACTCCTCCAAACTGGGTGAATGGGCAAAAAGAAAGGGCCATTGTCATTTGGTATAATTAGCAGTGCAGCCCTAAGCAGAATCCCACCATTCTAAGCCTTTGACTTCAGTGGACTTAGGAAGGTGTAACTTATTGCACTGTTTAAGTGTGAAGGGAAGTGCATATGGGCAGACCCTCCCAACTAGACATACATGCTGATCTAGTCTGAACTGTCAGTGGCTAAGTAGGAGAAAGATCTCAAGGCTGTGGTGGATAACTCCATTAAAAATGTTGACTTGGCGTGTGTGACAGCAGTGAAAGAAGCAAATTCTATCCTAGCAGTTATTAGGAAAAGGACTGAAAAGAAAATGGCCTAGTGTTGTCGTGTTGCTGTAATGTCTCCCGTGTGGCTACTGTTGGAATCATGTGTACAGTTCCAGTTGTCCCATTGCAAAAAAAAAAAAAAAAATACCACAGAGCAGGAAAAAATGCAGAAAAGCCAACCGAAAGGGGTTGGAGGACCTTCCCTATGACGGAAGGTGAAAGTGTTTGGGGTTTTCCAGTCCAGAATAAAGAGAACTGGTGATGGAGATGTGAAGGAGGTTGATAAAGTAATTTGGAGGGTCTGGAGAACGTGACACAGAAAACTGTATCTCTCTCCCTCAAAGACTAGAACTTGTGGAACCCAATGGAAATGGATAAGCTGTAGATTCAGGACGGGGGGGGGGGGGAAGAAGAGAGGGCTTTTTCAAAAAATACAGGTCATTTACCTTATGGAACTTACTGTCACGGGATGTGCTGACAGCCACTATGTCTTTGGTGGCTTTTAGGAAGGATAAGGTAAATTCATGGAGGATGGGATCATCAATAGCTATTAGCCGTGATGGCCAATGGGATCTCAGGTTGCTGAATGCTAGTTGCCGGGAGACCGCAGTAGCAGGGGGAGGTTTGGCCTCCTGGCCCCTGAGGAGGGCCTTCTGGGGGCATCTGGTCACCACTGAGAAACAGGATGCTGGACTAGATGGGCCACCGGTCTGATCCAGCAGGACTCTTCTTATATTAAAATCTGCAATGAGTTTTTAGTATTATGAGTGGCGTTCAAGTCTGGGCCAAGGGAAAGGCCCGTGCTCAGGTGGGAAGTCTTGTGTTTTAACTCCGCCAAAGAGGATTCTGAACTCAAATATCCTGTTCCAAAAACATTAGATTCGGAAAAAATTGAACTTGAATGATACACTCGTGCAGCCTCTCACTTGGACTTAAGTATCCTTCCCCGTGCCAGTCACACTCTCTGTGCCCAGATTTTGGGAATCTGTCTTTGAACCCTGTGAGCGAGCGATTGTGGCAACTGCATGGATCAGTTTGCTCTGGAGCCCTCCTTCCTGAGCCAAGACGAAAATGTGTGAGCCGGAGGCTAAAAAACTGTGAGCTGGCTCACACTAACTCAGCTTAGAGGGAACACTGGTTGTGATCCTCCAGGCGGTGGCTGGAGATCTCCTGCTATTACCACTGACCTCCAGGCAGCCGAGATCAATTCACTTGCAGAAAAGGGCTGCTTTGGAAGGTGGACTCTTACGGCATTACATCCTGCTGAGGTCCCTCCCCTCCTCAAACCCCGCCCTCCCCAGGCTCCACCGCCAAAGTCTCCAGGTATTTCCCAGCCCAGAGCTGGCAACTCTAGAAGAGGAGATGGGTCACTTTACCATCTGTTGCTCCCCAAACCAAAAGATCACTCACAATTTCTGAGCATGGCTGATGCGGTTGTAAAGAATGTTGATCTGGAGAGGGGAAAAAGTTGAGGAAATTGCTGTTAATATAATTTTGGCATTAAGGAGAACCCCAGCTGCGTAGAATCCTTGACTGTTATGTCTTTTTTGGCAGGAGTAGGTGATTTGTCAGCTTTCTTCCTTATAATTCATTCTGGTTCATAGTACAGTTTAGTTGCTTATCCATGCAAAACAGGGAAGGGCCCTTGACGGTTGCAATACAGGACACAGTCTGCGACACTGATAAAAAGAATAACAGCATCCCTATAATTTAACTTATAACTCTGAAGTCAAAATAGACTTCAGAATGATGGTCCCTAGCAGTCTTAGGGTGGCCAAGTGAAAAAATCGCCGCAGCGGGGGACTCCCGGCTTGCGGCTTGAGCGCGCATGCGTACCGCATGCACATCACCAGGAAAGTGACGTGATGACGCCGGGCACGCTGGGGGCGGGGCCACGACTGTCCGAGGGAAAACCATAGAGTTTTCCCTCAGATGGTCGTGGTCCCGCCCCCAGCATGCCCGGCGTTGTCACGTCACTTCCTGGTGACGTGCACGTGGGTGTGGGGTTCCCCCGGGGACTGATCTGCCGGCGGCGGGGAACGGGCCTCTGGGGCGGGGGTTTCCCCGCCCCCCGGGGGGGCTTGGCAAGGCT